TTTCATCTTAAACTAGATCTTTTTCCTTTTCAAGTTCTTCCACCTGGCGTTGCCTTCACTGCACTAAAGTCAACTCTATCCAGGATGTGCTCTGTGACGAGTGTGAGCAGCCTCGCTTGGAACCCCTCGGCTCTAAAGAAGAGGAATGTCAGCCTGCTACTATCATCGGTCTGTTATCCTTTGGTGTATCTCAGGCTCTAGCGATAGCATGTTTTTTCCTCAACATAGAAACTGATGGCTGGCACAGTGCTGCACTGTTTCCACATGACATGGAGCTTCTTGGTTTGAACCATAGCCCGGCCAATAGTCAATATATTAGTAACTGCATAGAGGAAACCTCCTTCAACCATGTTACCAGTGTTATTATAACATAATTTGTCCACCAGGGTGCGCTCTGCAGCCTCCCTGCTGGCAGTTCTGATCCGAGTTGTCGGGCAGAACATAAACAAGTAATCTACGACTTGTTGAAGCAGGAAAACGCCATAATTATTATACTACGTTGTCATTATCTTAGTTGGTATTCATAAAGAACATAAAATATTCATAAAAACTACACATAAGATCTACATGTACCTCTGTTTATGTTTAGTGTGTATTAAAAACGTCCATTATTTAATTTGTCGTGATCATTTTTTTTCTTTGTAATTCTCACAAAGGCTTCTGTAAGAATGTTGTTTTAAAGCTCAGTTTGAGTAATAACGTGATGTGTTTGTCGCTGTTTCTTAGAGTGGCAGTGTAAGAGCTGCACTATGGTGAATGCAGCCAGTAGTATTCTGTGTGAGGTTTGTGAACGACCTCGTTTGGCGACGCGACCTCCAGTGACCCCGTCGCACCCACCCATAACCCCACCCAGACCACCAGCACCAGTATTGGGGATGCCCGGTGACCCTGACAGTCAGGTTAGGTGTGTGAGTGTGGTCACATTTCTGCGCTTGTCCTGCTAGCTATCTGTTGCTAATAGCATTTCATTGCAGCGATTAGAGCATGCTGTGATTATTAAAGGTACTGCGCTGCAGTGGTTTAAGTCATATCTGTTTAATGATGAATGTTTTTATAGTGCCAAATCACAACAGCAGTTGCCTAGAGGCACTTTATGTTGGCCAAGACTCTACAATAATAGAAAGAAAGCCAGAAAAATCACATGACTTGATGAGGACTCCAATTTATTCATCAAATATCAAACCACCAACCTTGCCAGTAGATGACCTGCTGTACCTCCTGAGTTACAGCCACCCCAGTATACCAGTATGAAGTGCCACATGCTCACACTGTAGACATGAGCTTCCCTACTGGGGCCCCACCCAGGCCCCATAGTGGGGCTTCCAGGCAGGCCCCACATTTCATGCCTGTACCGAGACCCACACTACAGTACAATAATTTACATGTACAGAGGTGAGTGATCACTGTCAGGCTTACGTTTTAATTTTGAGGCTTTAATAGTGTGAGTTAGATATGATTATCGTTCCTGATCATAACTCTTCATCAGCCTTTTAATGCTGTGGCTGTTCACCGCATACATGCCAACCCTCCCGATTTTTCTGGGAGAATCCTGAATATCAGTGCCCCTTCCAAAAATTTCCCGGAGCCACCATTCCTCCCGATTTTCCACCGGGACAAGAAAATTAAAAAGCCATATCCCAGATTTCATAGTGCGGTCCAGCCAATTCCAATTCCGATTTCCAACAATGGCGGCAGCGACTTAGTTTCAATATTACTCTTGTTACTCTTTCTGGGTCGTAAAATAAACTTTTAACAGGTGTGAATGTATCTGTGTAAACTAGGGATGCAACGATACCAATTTTTTCAAAC